AACAGAAGATTACTCAAAAAAGAAATACAAATGGCCAAAAGGCACATGAAAAAATGGTCCACATCGCTAATCATCAGGGAGATGCAAATCAAAACAACAAGGACATATCATCTCACACCACAGAGACTGGTACACATTCAAAAGAACAAAAGCAAACAGTGCTGGTGTGGATGTGGAGCAAAAGAGATGCTCTTTCACTGTTGGTGGGAATGCTAGCTGGTCCAGCCTTTCTGAAAAACAATATGGACATTCCTTCAAAAACTAGAAATTGAGCTTCCATTTGACTCTGGAATACCACTTCTGGGAATATATCCCGAGGGTGCAAAAAAGCACAGTAGAAATGACATCTATACCTATATATTCATTGCAGCATTGTTCACAATAGCCAGAATCTGGAAACAATCCTAGTTTCGAGAACAGATGACTGGTTAAAGAAACTTTGTTACATCTACGCAATGGAATACTATTCAGCTCTTAGGAAAGATGCACTGTAGCACTGTCTTCCCATTGTTCATCGATTGCTTGAGTGGGCCCAGTAACATCTCTATCATGAGACTTGTTGTTACTGTGTTTGTCATATCGAATACATCATGAGTAGCTTGCTAGGCTTTGCCATGTGGGCAAGATACTCTCAGTAGCTTGCCAGGCTCTCCGAGAGGGGTGGAGGAATCTAACCCGGGTTGGTCTGGCCGGCCGCGTGCCTTGTAATGTCTTCTGAGAACGCTTTTAAGTTCCGGACATTCATTCAAGGACTCTGAGGTGAGGTCATGAAATTTGCTTATAAGTGGGTGGACATGGAGAGTATCAGGCTAAGTTAAAATAAGTCTAAAAGAGAGGAACAGACATAGAAGGACTGCACTCATTTGTCGAGTATGAAATAACATGAGTTTGACACACAAGGACAGTGGAAACAAGGACCAGGAAGATTGCTCCATAATTGGAAGCCTGCCTCATGAGTGGAGCTGGGACAGAGAAGGGATCACTAAGAAAATGATGGTTGGTGGGATTGGTCAGAATGGGAGATGTCTGCTGAGAGTAGATAAAGGACCAAACATGATAACCTCTCAGTACCTGTATTGCAAACCATAATGCCCAAAAGTAGAGAGTATGGGGAAAATTGTCTTCCATGGAGGCAGAGGGCGGGGAAGTGAGGGTATACTGGGGAGATTGGTGGCAGGGAATGTGCACTGGTGGAGGGATGGGTGTTTAATCATTGTATGACTGTAACTCAAACATGAAAGTTTGTAACTGTATCTCATGGTGATTCAATAAAAAAAAATCAGAACCCTTCAGAAAAAGGTGGAAAAGAGTTGAACACTTTCTCAAAGAAGGCCAATTAAAGCATATGAAAAACGTCCTTCATACACTAATATTAGGGAAATTCAAATCAAAGTGACAATGATATATCATTACAAAACAATTGAATTGTTATACATCAAAGAGGAGAAAACAACCAAAGCTGGCTGGGATATGTGGAAAAAGGAATTCTCGTGCTGTTGGAGAGAATGTCAGTAGCTCAGCATCTATGTAAAATAGTAGGTATATTTCTTAAAAAATTAAAAACCAGAATGCATATGTTTCAGGAATTTCACTTCTTGGCATCCTTAACTGTTGAATATATCTTCTTTGTTTCAGAATCCGATCCAGTAACTACATTACATTTAGTTGTCATGTGTCCTTAATTTCTTCAGATATGCAAAAGTTACTTTTTTCCACTTGTTTTTCATGCATTGATACATTTGAAGAATACTGACCAGATTATGTTGTACAGTATCTATTGGTTAGGATTTTTGCTCTTTTTGTGATTCAAATATTTCATCCTATTAGAGTAGTTTTATGGTGTTTAGTTTGCACTTTAATTTATACTGTGACATTTTGCTGCTCAACTGGATCCCAGTTTGTGCACTCAGCTCTGTCAGGTTTGCTTTTGTACCTTCAGTTTCATTCCTATTAGAGTGTTGCATGGTGGGACTGGTCATATGCTTTTCTAACGATTAGACTTAGCAGGGGGTTGTTGTGGGGAGTAAGACAGGAAATGTAGTGCCATTCTCATAATACTATAAGGATACTACTAATGGTCGATTGCCTCGAGCAGGCCCCAGTAATGTCTCTTGGTATGCTAGGGTCAGATTTTCTTATGGTCATGTTACTCTCCCACTGTTCTGCCCCCCATTCCTCCATCATCTCTTATCATACATTCTCTTTGGAGGAAAGTCACTTTGTATAGAAACTGTATTGAGTACTCATACAAAGTGACTTTCCTCCAAATAATCTACCTCTGTGTTGATTATCCTGCATGGGATATTTTCCCTCAATTTATTTGCTTATATAAGTATAGGTGACTAGATATTTATTTTAAATTTTGGGTTATAATCCAGTGCTTCCTTAATATATTGGTCAGATTTTTTTACCAGTGTCAGCTCTTTGACAGCTATTTCCCCCTGACACCCCTCGTGGTTCCATCGTGTGTGTGTGTGTGTATGTATGTGTGTGTGTGTGTGTGTGTGATGTGTGCGTGCACAATTTTGTTAAGTATGAGATATGCTAAGGTCATCTTTCTATTTCCTCTCAAAACCAGAATTAGCTGCTAATGTAAGGAGCCATTTAACTGATTATTTTCATGGAAAATGGGCTCAGAAATCAACTTCCAGGTGCTTGGTAGACTGAAGGTACTGGGAGTTGGTTGGTTTTCTGTGTCTCTATTATTAGTGGGTAGGGCGTTCGCCTTACAAGCGGCTAACATGGCCGACCCGAGTTCGATTCCTCCGCCCCTCTCGGAGAGCCCGGCAAGCTACCGAGAGTATTCGATATGCCAAACACAGTAACAATAAAGTCTCCAATGGAGACGTTACTGGGCCTGCTCGAGCAAATCGACGATCAACGGGAGGGCCTTTACCTTTACCTTTTTATTATTTACAGAGACAGAATTCAAGTAAAGTAATAAGAACATGAATTTCAGAGGGAGTTATTGAGTGACATTCCACAAACTTAAAGCCCTTTGCATCCACCATCTCTAGTTTCAAAGCATCAACATTACTTTAGAACCAGATCTCATAGCCTTTAAGCTTTGGTCCTCCATAGTCAATTTCTGGCCTCTGAAAGCTACCAATTTGTGTTCCTTTCTCAGGACCTACCTACTCTGAATTTGTCAGGCAGAGTGATTTGTATTATATGTAATGTTTCATGGCTATTTGCTGAGCTTTATCTCAAGGTTGAACCACGTTGTCAATCCTTCACTCTATGACTGCCAGTAATCCATGGTATGGACCGACCACATGTTTCTACATTTATCAACAAATGAACATTTTCATGTGAATAGTGCTGCCTGCACAATCCTGTGTAGATCTGAATTACATACCTGCCTGATTTCAGTTTTTGGGGGGCATATGCTTGAGAGTGGAAGTACTGGATCAAAGGTAAAATCTACCTTTCGCCAAGGGACAGCCCACCTGTTTCCACAGAGATGAACTACTCTTCGATTCCTATCTGGAAAGTACAGTTCTCAATTCTTCACATGCTAAGCAGTTATTGGAAGGGCTATAGGTGAGAGTTGCTGAATTATGAACTGAGAACTCTGACTGTTGGGTGGAGGAAGGATCCTAGGTGGTCAGACATAAATGGGCAGGAAAAGATTGCTCTGGGGAGTGAGGGCAGTATCTTGGACCTTAATGGTGGGGAGAGAAACAGACAGAAGGAAGAGGTTATAGAGCCCAAATCCATAGAGACTGAGCTCTTAACAAAGGGAGGAATCAAGAACAATTTCCAGGAATGGGAAATGAGAAGTGAGGAAAGTGCCTTAGCCCATTTCTGGAGATCGGGGTGACCATGGGAGGTACTGGCTTTGGAGATATGGACCCCTTAGGTTTGGACAAAGGGTTGAAGGAAATGGTGTGAATTTTGACCCTTCAGAGGGTGCTGCCCCTCACTGTGTGGCTAGCCCACCTCCCCCCTTTATCTAGTTGTAGTGCAGACATGTTCTACAGACATCAGATATAGGCTAGAGGATTTCTGGCTGCTTGAAAGATTGGAGCTGTTTTTCATATCTTACCTAACTCTCCAAGGTTCTGTGTATTTTACACTATTGTGACCTTGTCTCCTGGGTTTTCTCATGGCCACTGGCATGACTTATAGTCACAGTGCAGAGAACTAACTCCTTCATTGCTCTTTTCATGGTGCTGAAAGGCTCTCATCTAATCCCCCTGGTTCAGGAATTTGAGGATCTCACCCCTTGATCTAACAGGTGAGGTTGGGAATGCAGGAGTCTGGACCCCTGTGTAATTTTTGTATTCGGTCAATGGGCAAAATAAAGCATTTGGAGATATGGAGGATAGAGCCAGGGAAACAAAGTCTTAATCATTGTTGTAATAGTGTGCTAACCTCTAGGCAGTCATCCTAGGTGTTGCTGCCCAGACCCCTAGGGTTGCTTTGATGCCCCTAGGAAGGAGTGCTTTCACTTGGCCTAGACCTATGCGGTGGCTCCTGTTTGTAGTATTTTTAGTTTTTATTTTTTGATCACACCTGGCTGTAGTCAGAGTTTATTCCTGACTCTGCACTCAAGGATCACTTCTGGTGGTGCTCAGGGTTTACTCCTGACTTAGTTCTTAGGGATCATTCCTGGCAGACTTGGGGAACCATATGTGGTGCTGGGGATCGAACCTGGGTCAGCAGTATGTAAGGCAAGTGCCTGTCCATTGCATACTATTGCTACAGCTCTTATTTGTAGGAAATGAAGACAATGACTCACATTTTGCATGAAAAGAGGTTAATTATTACAGAAATGATTACAAAATGCCCAGCCCCTAGGTGCATGCCTTTCTGCACTTGTCAATTCAAGGTCATGTTGGTAGAATTCCAAGGAGGAGTTGAGATGTTCAGAACACTATCCTACTTGTCGCCCTAGTTATAAAGACAGCCTGGGACCAGCATTTCTTGGAGAAGATTTAGAGTGATTTGATTCTGAAAAATTCTTGGACAGCAGATTGTCCAAGCTTATCACAAGCTTATTTTCCTGTCTGAAGATCTTTCTGTGAGGAGAGAAAATACATCTTATTATATTCTGAAACTTTTCAGGTGACTGCGGGCGTGGGCAGAGTCAACCACTGAACTCCATCCTGCTGAAAATCCTGCTCCCTTTAAGAATGGGTGAGCTGGGGCTGGGGCGATAGCACAGCATGTAGGGCATTTGCCTTGCATGTGGCCGACTCGGGTTGGATTCCCAGAATCCTATATCATCCCCTGAGCACCGCCAGGAGTAATTCCTAAGTTCATGAACCAGGAGTAACCCCTGCACAATATGACAGGAGTGACCCAAAAAGAAAAAAAAAGAATGGGGCAAGAAGCAGGCCAGGCTGAGAGAGTCCCAGAGGTCACTCTGGGGACAATTGTTGGAGTGCTTATGGGAAATTATGGAGGGTGAAACTCCCTCCAGAATTGCATGGAGGTGGGAGACCACCATGCAGAGCTGACGCAGAACTCATTTGTAAATGGTAGAATGAAAAGATGGCTCCTGAGGTTCCTGTTGGGACCTGAATCAAGTCACTGCAGAAGCTCACTCCATCCCTATGATGTGAGCAACTGAAACATGGGCTCCAGTCTCTGGAGTCAAGGATGAATTGGAAAAGGAACTGGTGTCCAAGAATTTGCTCAGTGGAAATGTTGGTTGCCCCACTAGATATCTTTCTTTGTTCTAGGTTTGGCAGAAATATATGGGCATATTTGGGGTTATTAAAAAAGTAGTACATGATCACTGAGGTGTGAGTTCAAACAAGAGAAGTTATGGTCCAGCTGGACAACCCTTACACGTGGTTCCCAAGAACAGAAGACAAAATGGGGCAACTTTCTGAACCTTGTTCCTGCCTCATGAGTCTATCTTCCACTGCTACTTACCTCTCCCTTTCTCTATTCAATCTCATAAATTTCATCCCACTCATCCCACTGTGACCCTTTCCTGATATCCTGAAAGGTGTGATTGAAATAGTAATCTCTTGAATCATTCTCCAGAAGCAAATTCTCTTTCTGACACCAGGATTCAGGGGCCAAGTGATGGGGAAAAGGAAGAATCAGGTCAGCTTGGCAGAGAAGGAGGAGCCTTGGCAGACACTGGAGGACTGTGTTGATGCACTGGACATGTGTGTGTGTGAGATGGGGTATATGTCCCAACATAGCTTTCAGGTGTGTTCAGGTATGTGTGGAACAAATTTCCTTTATCTTGTGAGAAGAGTGTTTCCTACTGGAGTTCACTTGTTAGGTTTATCCTCAGAACAAAGAATGAGGGGTGTTGATGGGGCTGGGCAGATCTTCCCAAGTGACTGGATCACAGCTCCCCTGGGCCCCATTCTCTGCTCTGAAGGTGAAAGCATTCAGTGGTTTTGGTGCCTCAGAAATTCTTTGAATGTGTCTATCTTACCGTCTTCATAGGTACAAGCTTGGCAGGAGGCACAGGATTTGAGGACACCCCAGTGGGAAGGTTCCATTGGCTTAAACATCCTGAAAATACAGGGAAACATCTTGTGAAAGGAGTTGAAAGAAAGAAATGGACAGCGTTGTTTTAGCCACCAGCAGGCAGGGTGCCCTGGGCAAGCCATGATTCTAGGACCTAGTCTCTGGGCACTCTTGTGTGTCCCATATGAGCTCTCATGGTCAGAGGAGATCCTGGGCCAACTGGAAGCAGCTGGTACATTGACTTTGTATAGGAGGTAGAAGGGCACATCTGGCTTCACCCGGCATGAGAATGTCATAAATAGGCCCTGTGTATTGCTGTCCTTTGAGCCCCTTTAGAGCTCATGCAAATGTGAACACAATGTGCTTTTCATCCAAAGTGTGGGAGGAGAATGTGCCTCAACACATTCACAAAGGGATATCACAGGGTGTTGCCCCCTGTGACTGTGTCTCTATTCGGGGTTCCAGGAGCAAAGCCACATACCAGTGATGGCAGAAACTGCTCTGGACTGCACTTCATAGACCAAGTTTGGCATCTCGTCCATCTGGAACAGAGGGAAGAGTGAGATCAGCGGCATCTCTTTGACTGTGCCTCAGGGAGCAGGGAGTTGGACTCTGAACTGAATCTACTTCACAGCCTTTTGACCTGCTTTCTTGGTGTTCTGTGACACTACCAGTGTCTGGTAGTGAAGTCTGATCTTAAAACTGTGCCACAAAAACTCGAATAACATGAAGAGGAAAAGTGAGGAGAGCAGACTTTTCTTCCAAGCAGACAATATAGCTGACTAATAACGTCAGTGACAATATAGTTCACATTTTTATCAGGATGACTGGAAGGAATGTGAGCAAGGGTTTGGTGACAAAGGAACCTTTCCTACTGCTGGTGGGTATGCAAACTTGTTCTGTCTCTGTGGAAAATAGTATGAGTTTTCTCCAAATCTTTAAACCAGAACTAACTGTAACCCAGAATTGCCCTTTGAGGTTTTGTTTGAAAAGTGCAAGACAAAAATTCAAAATGAGATAGGTAATCTTGTATTCTTTGCTTCATTATGCACCATGATTCTGATCTAGAAACCACCTGAGTACCCAGTGACAGATGACAGGATAGAAAAGAAGGAATCTGGTCGCAGAGAGAGCTCAGTGAACTGTAGCACACATTTTGCCTTCCAGAGCACTGGATTCTATCAGGGTCCTGCAAATTCCCCCCAGTGCCACAAGGGAATGAACCCTGCATGATGATGGAGGGGTTAGCTCATGAGCACTGCTGGTCATGACAACCCAATGAGGAGGAAAGTGTGGTCTAGACAAACATTAGGATAAGACTTAGCTCTAGAAAATGAATCTTGCTTTTGAGACAATGAGGGAGGAGGAAGTGGAGAGGATTAGGTAGCTAAATGAAGTAAGTCAGAAAGGAAAATATCTGGGGCCATTAGCACTGACTTAGCTATAAAGAAGCAAAACAAGGACCAGGAAAAGGGCAGTGTAAAGTGTGAGGTTTTGAGTGAGAAGAGCAGTCAATAGGGTGTCCAGTCAAGGTGCTGAGGAGATACCAGCTCTTTGGTGGTAGGAGGTGGTTTGACACCAACCCACCAACCTCCTAGCACAGTGTCCTGACCCACCACGTCTCCATGAACACAATAAGAATTTCTCATCTCACAGAGGAGCTTTCTGAAAACCAACTTACAATCTCAGGAGGCATCGTGGTTTGCTGAGTCATGCTGTTGAAGAAAAGGTGCAAGGAAGGATTATTTTCAGATACAAACTAGGAGCCCCTTGTAACACAGAGATTGTCACCTCAGATTCCTCAGAGGAAAATCACAGACAAACTGAACAGTATCAAGAAGACTTGAAAGTTGAATGGGAACAAGAATGTTTGAGCTAAAAAGGCCATAATGATTTCCCTAGAGTTTATGGGAAGATTTCTAAAAGGCCATTTCAGTGACAGTTTTGGTGTAATTTTGTGAAGTAATTCCTCTTATTGGATCTTTAATTGCCCTCTCCCAGGAGGACTATAGAGTGAGATACAGACAGACAGAGAGAGTACCTTATCATCTTGATGTCTGCCACCATTTTGCCATTGGCTGTCCTGCACAGGTGGGAGTACATGGCAACCTGAAGCAGAGAAAAGCATGAGTGGCCAGTGCTACTCGGACAAAGCTTCTCAGCACATTTATGCATTGGGCTTTAATGGGTCAAGGTCAGGTCCAGCCCCAACTCCTTTTGCTTCCCTCAGAGTCCCTCAACCTAGCTGGTCAACACCTGGTCCTCTGGCCCTCAGGCTTGGGGAGTGGTTACGCCCAGAGAGCACTGTCTCCTCTTCCTGCCAGGGAGCCCTTGTGCCTTGCTGCTGTTCCTGAGAAGCGGCGCTGCCTGAGGACTCAGAACTCACCGATCGAGCAATGCCGTAGGGCTGGCCAGCCTTCTTCAACTCAAAATTCATGATCAGCTCTAGTTTCTGATCAGGCCGGTAGCCATAGGAGAGCCTGGAGATGCAGGCCTCCACATCCCCTACCTGTCATGAGAGTAGAGGGGGAGAGAATGGAGAACTGCCCTCCAGGTTGTATTAGAGACACCCTCACACCCATACACTCTGTCTCCAAGAGGCTTCACCCTTTGGGGGATCAGTGGGTGACCTGACCGAGTGCTGATAAGGCTGCCCACCATGGTGGTCGGGATCTAAACCCAGACATTGCCCTGAATTGTATTTCCTTTTCTGGAGGGCAGCAGGGCTTGGACTGGACAATAAAAAATCTGACTTTTCTCTCAGCCCTCAACCAATTTAAAGACCTTTTGTATGCTCTTGCGGCACTCGGCTGCACTCGTGATACTCTGGGCACAGTTCAGGGGAAGGAGTGAGGAGTGTGACTGTTTGTGGCCACCTGACTTACTGCTCACACCCGTGCTTCCTTCCTTCTGTTGGATGTGGCCCCACCTCCCTCCCGCCCCCTTCTGGGAGAAGCCCACTGCCTGCTCACACTTGTAATGGGTCACTTCCACACTGGGACTACATCCTTTGCCTCTCAGTTGATTTCACCCGGGCCAGCACAAACCCACTTCTGTGTTCCTCCTGGGGTAAAGGGACACCCTCTCCCCAATGTTTCCTCCCAATGTTCTCGGGAACAATGTTACAACAACAATCAGTGTTCAGCATTCTCTCAGCTGAGTTAGAGCAGGTTGAAGCAAGCGGGGATTGATTCTGGGCACCCAGCTGGACAGTGCTCACCTTGACTCTGACCGGCTTGGCACATCGAGTGACAAATTCTTTGACAGTTTCGTGAGACAAGATTAGAGAAACACTATCATTTTTAGGGTGCTTAGGAATGGAACTTCCAGGCATTGAGACTGGGATTTTATTCCAGGTGCATTTGGCCTAGAGAAAGAAAAGCAGAAAAATCTCTGTCATAGGGAATCCCTCAGCAACGTTTGCCCCTTGGCATCCTGAGTGAGAGGCTGAGAAGGCAGTGTGCCCATGGGAGCTACTGGTGACCATGAGAGAAACAGCCCCTGAAATTCCTGAGGCCTTTCTACGGGGAACTGTGGGCAGGTCTTTGGAGACTGCAGAGCCAAAGTCCCGTGAAGGGCATCACCAGAACATACGGAGATTGTGTCTGTGGGGCCCAGATTTTGGTCACCAAGGCTGCCTTTTTAGGTGCATCCTGCCATTTCCATTGTGTTTCAAGTAAAGTGTCTCAGGTGCGGATAGGCATGCTCTCAGAGACCTGCCTTTCCAGGCTTGTCCTGTGACGTAGAATGACCCACCCTGGTCAAGCGGAGGCCCTAATTGTCAGGGAAACTTTAGTAGCCTTTGACTTCTGTTAAAGAAACCCCCTTCCTGTCTAGAGTATTCATCTCTAATAAAATGCAAACGACATGCAGCTGGGCATGGAGGGACGTGAACTCTCCAAGGCATCTTGGAATTTTTGCTTCTTTCAGTTGTCCTGTGTTTTACTCCAGAGAAGTAAATGTTCCTTTCATTTGCATTTTTCCTAATTCACATCATTCTAAGCTCTGCCAGCATTTCTTTGCTTCTGTCCATCCTGTTCCTGTTCAACTTAATGATCTCCTTCTTTACCTCTTACGGTTCATTGCTCTCCCTTTCCTGACTGTTCGTACGTATATTTCTTTTCTTATTTTTCTTGGGGATGGGGGGAGAGCACACCAGGAGTGCTCAGGGGTTACTCCTGGCTCTGCACTCAGGAAGCACTCCTGGCAGTTCTTGCAGGGCCACACAGGATGTTGTGGACCAAATCTGGGTCAGATGCTGCAAGGCAATTGTTATAGTATAACTCTGGCCGGCAGTACCTCAGTACTCCGGCCGCCAGTAAGCGAGAATACATCTGCCATTAGCATGGGAGTCCTGATGGGGTCCCCAGGAAAATTGACCCAGTAGACTAGGCTGCATTTCCAAGTGATGGCAATTTAGCTGTGGCAGGGTCGATATAACTGGCCTCTGTGTATCTCTTGTACTTCTCATGGAGCATTATGCCTGTGCTAGCACTCACTGTTTGAGAGGATGGGAGGAGATCACAGTGCTGGTGCAGGAGCTCAGGAGGTTCCGAAACTGGGGAAATCCCTCATGCAACAGCAATATGGGGTGAGATGAGAAGCAAGACTGTTCTTTACTCTCCCCAGTGGGCATGTGGCAGTCAGTGCTCTGGGCATTCTGGTAGAGCATGGCTGTGGACACGAGGACACTTACACAGTAGGAGATGCACAGGCCATCAGCATAGATATTGGTCTTGGCAATGGTGTACTGGCACACAGCCCCGGTCACTGCAGGACAGAAGGAGAGCATGCACACAAGCCGGAGCCACGCCCATGCCCAGGTGACCAAGGGGCCTGGGCACTTCGCCCCTGGGGTGAAGGGTCAGGGAGTACTCCAGTTTCACCCCGGACACCATCCCAAAAGCAGCAGTCTCCTGGATTCTTCCTGTGTACTTGTCTGAGGGCAGCATGGGGAAGGCTCAGGAGAGCTCGACCTCCTGCCAAAGCGCCAAACCTCCAGTGGGAGAAAGAGACTTGCTGACAGGCCCCTATATCTCCTGTTCGGGAGTGGGAATTGTCCCCTGTCTCCTCTGCTGGGCAAGTCTGCAGACTCGGAGCTCCCAGTCCCTCTCATGAAGCCTGATAGGTTTGGGGACGCAAGCAGAGAAGAGTGCTCTGGGGCATGTTCCCTTGAGGGACCCTCATGCACGAACACTGGCAACATTTGGGGTCCAGACGCTCCCACAGAGGACGCTCCACCCATCTCTTGTGGACACTGAGATGCACCGATGCAGAGAACTTGGCCTCTCCCAGGACAACTGAGGGAAGGGTGTGGACTGCAGATTTTGCGTGTCTGGCAGTGGCTGGATGTCAGCCAGTTGATACCCACCCCAATCTGTCAGGCTTGTCTTGCCAGGCTGGGTCCCTGGAGCCTTGGCCAACTCCCTCATGGGCCCTTTGCACCAAGGGGTCGGAGGTTGGACTCACCATTCTTGCCTGTGTCGAAATCATCCAGCTGGATGGCGCACGAAGATTCTTTTGCCTGTGAAATCCAGCACAGGAGCTGAGCTGCGCGAGCCCTCACCCCAGCTGCTGTGCTCCTTGGCCCTCTGCTTCTGCTACCCGCCTGTCCCCTGACTTTGGTGACAGACCTTCTCGGCTCCCTCCAAGGCTGCAGGGAGACTTTGGGGCCTGAGGAGTTCAGGCTGGCCTGTGCTGGCCTCAGCGGGGCCCCCAAGGACCCTCCAGGCTCCCCTGGTGGCTGCCCCAGGGTGAGTCTCGGCCTTCTCCTTGCTTGCCCCCGAGACCATCCCTGGAGCTGGGAGCCAGGGCTTCCCTTTCTCAGGACTTACGTTCTTAGTCAGTTCTACGCTCAGGACCATCAGCATCACATCATTCAAGGAAATAGGCAGGGGCAGAGACATAGGCAGCATGTCCAGGGCCCTGGGAAAGACAGCGCAGGGCAGTGTGAGGCTCACGAAAGAAGCAAAGCCCTTGGGAGACTGATCGGCAGAGAGCACCAGGGCCTCTCCGGAGTCGTGCAGCCCCCACTGACTCTCAAACAATTCTAGTGCAGGTGGGAGGTGCGAGGGTCCTGGGTTCCCCCCAGTCTGATCCCACATTCTCTCATAGGGGACTCTGCCATCCCCCTCAGATCCTGGTACCCAATGAGCCGATTGACCTGGGAGCAGAGCGGGGCTAGAGGGGCCAAATTTTGTCACTGGGAGAAACCACTCCCCTCGGCCTGGGACTGGGACATTGGTCAGATGGTGAGTTTCTGTAGACTTCTAGGTCCCCGCAGAGCATCAGTTACATAGACACCCATGAGCTGGGAGCGAGCGATGAACATTCCAAAAGAAAGCCCGCCCTACCCCACCCCACCTCCCTGGGCCTCTGTCTATTGCCCTCCAAGCTTGGTGCTCCCCTGCATGTGTCTCAGTAGAGTGAGGACACTGTGTTCTCATTGCCTGCCGGGAGTGAAGGCAGTCAATGAGGACGAGGGTCTCACGTACGTCTTCACCAGCATGATGCACACTTCTGTGACCTCCATGGACTTCTGCTCGACTTCCAGTTGGCAAGTGTTGTTAGCAGGCTCGTGTGTACTGCTGATGTGCACTGTTACTACCATTGACACCTGGATCTCGAGTACGGTGACCGCAGCTCCGGCGATACTGTAGAGAGATGCAGCTGAGACCACATGGGCTAGAGTTGTCCGACTCAGGTCTCGTCGAGGTGGGAGCGTCTGCCCCGGCTAAGTGAGGTGTGTTGGGAGAGGGACTGCTGGGCGCTTTGCCATGAGCACAACCCTCAGAGTACCATCCCGGGATCCTGAGTGGAGCCCGGCACATGCAGACACCCCATGTGTGTGGGATCATCCCCCGCCTCTCAGTTCTCAGACGTCTCCCTCTGTGGACGGCCTTGGGCCCCCAAGGGAGGAGGTGCCTGTGACAGGACTCGATGCCATTACCTCAGCTCTGGGGTGTGGGTGCCAGGAGCCCCAACCTGGACTGGTGTCTTTTTTGATTCCTTCAGGATGGGGACAGACCCAGCCAGTTGTGGGGGCCCGGCCAGGTGGGAGTCTGAGGGTTGGAGGCTGCTCTGCCTCCCCGCTGAGTGTGGCTGCAGTAGCATTCAGCTTTGAGGGGAGGGCCATCCCTGCCCGGGTGTGTCCTGGGTCTGCCTGTCCTCTGTCCTTCCTGCACAGGGACGGCACTGTGTGCAGGTCAACCCAGGGCCCCCTCTGCATCGGGCCAGATACTCTATTCTCGCCGGGTGAGTTCTGGAAGGCACGTTCATGCCGCTGACCCTCGGAGCTTCACCCAGCCTGGCTGCTTCGATGCTGAAAGCATTTGCTTTCTCGGTGACTGGGCCTCTGCTGGGCCTCTGCTGGTTTGTGCAGGTGTCCCTGAAAGGCGCGTTTCTTTCTGACCGGGACTGTACGAGGACCATTTCCCTGTCTCACTCCATGGGAGGGTCCCCGGGTCAAGAGGAGAGATCTGGCTGCACCCTGACCGAGGGTCCCTGTCCTGCGGGGATCTGCTTTCCTTCTTGTTGTGTCCCCCGACCCGCTCCACGACTCTGAGGATGTCTCGCCTGCCCGGGCGGGGAAGGAATTCTGCTCACCCTTCTGCTATCACGCCGGCGGTGACTGAGGCCTGGGCGTCCATCCCTTTGTCTGTCATTGAGTAAGTGATGCTGTTCACAGTGACATCACCCAGTTTAGTACTGCAAAGGGACCACATCGGAGGTCAGCAAGGTCAGGTCGTCTCCAGGAGTGATCGGACAGCAAGAGACAGTTCTGGGGTAGCAGCGAACAACCACCCCAGCCCCCCACCCAGGCACACGCGAGTCCCTCCCCCGGTCACCCCTTGACCGGTCATGGCCTGAGTCCCCTGGTGGGACTCCGCAGAGGGCTGCCCACTGGAATGAGGCTTGCCCCGACTCTGGGACTGTCCCGCTGTCCCTCCAAGTCCGGAGGAACAGCTTTCCTCAGCTGGGAGGGGCCAGCCCGCAAGCAGGGAGACTCTCACTTCAGCAGCAGTCCGCTCCCGTCCCGGTCGCCTGAGGATGAGCCTGAGCCCAGGGAGGGCAGCAAGTCTCTGACGGGGCCAGTGGAAAGCAGATTCTTTGCCGTGTCAACGACACTAGACACCTTCCTCAAGGGGTCAGTCAGCCCTGCGAGGCTCTTGGCCTTGGAAGCCGCGTCCTGGGCAACCTGGGAGATGGGTTCAACCACATCCTGGAGAGCCTCAGCACTGGCGACCGAGACGGGCAGGCCGTCGGGGACCATGGGTGACACCGGGACGGCGGCAGGGTCAGAGCCCTCTGCGGCGCTCGGGGCCTTGGCGTCTGCGCTCTTGCCCAGGGCGCCATCCAGCACACCCAGACCAGAGAGAGCGTCCATGGGCAGCAGAGCCAGGAGGTCGGTGCCGCACGCGGTGCTCAACACTGAGCCCACGAGCCCGGCCAGGTTCACGTCGGAACACTTGACCAGATCCTCGATCTTGTCGGGCAGGCTGCCGTTCATGTCTGCGGATTCAAGAGACACGAGACTGCCCTTGGCTGCCGGCCACTGGAGGCAGAGGACCTCTGGGGCCCTGCCTGAACTCCCCTGTGGTGTCCCGGGTTGAGAACGTCGGGGGGAGGGGGGCAGGAGTGGAGAGCTCGCTTGCCCGCAGGCCCAGCGGTGCTGTGGGCCATGCACGCTCCTGAGGAGGCAGGTAAGCACCTGCTCTGTTTCCTGGGCCCCTCTTCTGTTCTGCGGGGAGGCCCAGGCTGTGCACACCAGAGCCTTTAGTGAGCTGGTGGGCCTGCCTGGGGCCACGCTCCCTGCCCAAGTGCCCATGACTGCGCTCCTCTTTGCCCTGCAGGGAGAGTGTCGGCTACAGAACGGTACTTCTCAGGGACAAGGCAGATAGGAGGCGGAAGGCAGAGAAAAGGGTCTTGGGGTGTGTGGGAAGGGAATGGGTTGCAGTTTGAGAAGCCTCTTCCCATTGGAAAAGTTCTGGTTCTTGCGGCACAGAGGGCCGGGGACTTGCTTTTGGTGCAGGGAGAGCAAGTTGGGGCTGCAAGGGCAGCGCATACTTACATTCTTGGAGCTTGTCAGCTGACAACCTGTAGGTGGCCACGATTGGACATTTGCCTCCGACGTCCCCAGCTGAACCCTTTTTGGGTGGTCGTGGTCTTGGGCCAGAGGGCTTTGCAAGGGGAGGGTAGAGTGGCAGAGGGAGCGGTGGGTTCCCAGCATCCACAGGAAGTGCACTCACGGCATCCACAGGAAGTTGGGCAACGGAAAGGTTTTCCGACAACGGTAATGGGTCAACCACTCCTGCCAGGAAGGCCAGGGCGATGACCATGGCCCCGAGGGTCAGCATCTTGGCGCTGATGTCTGCAAAGGAGCGCTGGTCACACACCACCCTCCCCCTCACCGTCCTGGGCCGCCGTGCTGCCAGGACCATGTCCAGTCCTGTGTCCTCGCTGCTGAGCTGGCCTGCCTTCCTCCACTCAGTGATTCCGGCCCCAGAGTGCCTCAAGAGACTCAGATGCACCCGAGGGAGTGATGACCCAAAGGTCTCCTGCCAAGGGTCCACGTCCTGCGGCCACATTTTGTTTCTGAATATTGTCTGGAGAAGCCTCGGTCACCCATGGGAACTGGAGCTTGTGAGTGAGTGACCCTGGTACCAATTCGAAAGGCCTTTCCATGCTCTGGCAAGAGCCCAGGTAGCACTGGGCTATCGTCTTGGGTGCTGGGACTCAGTGGCCTCCTCTGTGTGTGGCTGCTTGTTTGGGGTCAGCTTTTCCCTGCCTCCTGTGCCCTCCCTTGGAGGTAACTTGGGAGCAGGTGATATCCCTCGGTCAGGGACTCCCACGGGCACAGGTGCTGTCCGGTCATTGGTGTCCATGTTCCTCCCTCTCCCTGAGGGGATGTGTCTGTCTGTCTCTGCACATGCCTCTCAGCATAGCCCGCCCTGTTCTGTAGCCTCCTCTGCTATCCTCCAGGCCTGGCTGGCCACTTGTCACCTTCTCACCCATTTCCTGAGGAGCCTGAGCCTCAGGGCCCTGGCCGAGGGCAGCCCACGCCCCCAGCAGGGAGAGGCCTTTGACCTAAGAATCTGCGATGGGACTCCCTGCGCCTCTCTCTTTCTCTCTCTCTCTCTCTCTCTCTCTCTCTCTCTCTCTCTCTCTCTCTCTCTTTCTCTCTCTCTCAGGAGGCTGAGTCCTTCCTTCACAGGATCCTCTCAGTCTTTCTCTTTCTAGTCAGCAGTGGGGGGGATGGGGGCCATGCAGTATTTGCCTTGTAAAATTTTTCTCAGGGGAAGCAAGTTGGCTCCACTCCAGAGTTTCTCAGTGTTTGCGAAGAGTAGGACCAGGGCCTGCTCTTCTCACTCCTGCCCTGATCCTGCCAGCCCAAACCCATCTGCCCGCCATGTCCAGCTACTGAAGAAAAAACATGGTGGCAGAAAGGTTGGGCAGAGGAACGGGCAGCTGATCCTGGACACTACTTGACGTACTTACTCCTGAGCTTGACAAGATGACGGCTCTATGCCATTTTTCCTGCCGCTGTCATCTCTGAGCTGTTGGGGGTCCTTGTCCCACACGATGCATAATGTGTTCCTTGAGGAACACACGGTGCAGTGCTGGGCCTGGTTCTGAGGGGCTGCTTGAGTGGACCCCATAGAGGATGCAGGACCACCTGCCTGCCTCTCCTCTTAGTGCCCTGGATACGGGGCCACTGACTGGCAGCTCCGGTGCTGGGCAGAGCACCGCATGTGTGGTCATTTGAGGGCCCTGGTCAGGAGGGCCTCAGTGTCCCCCGAGCTGCCCGCCCCGGGAGCACCCTGTGCTGCTCCTTCCCTGACAATCCTTCTGGTGGATCTGCCTTGGGGGTTCTTACCTTGCCCAGTGGCGATGGGTCTGTGGGACTGGAGAGGTCTTCCCCAGTCCTGGACTGCCCGGGAAGTGTCGGAACGAAGGCTGTGCCCCACTTTTATGGGCTGCTGTCTCGGGGGAGAGGCGTCAGAGGTGTGGGCACGTGATCCAAAGGGTGCTGATAACGGGGGGCGTGACACAGGCTGACTTCCAAGATCAGCATCTGCTAATGGCTGTGACATTTGCCTCTTGATGGAGTGTCGGGGTGTTGGAACTCTTTCAGTGTGAGCACCAGGCCATCCTCTGTACCCTCCTTACTCAAAACCTTTCCAGGCCCGTCAGCCTGAACCCTGTGCTGGGTAGGTGTCGCAGGACGGGTGTGACACTGTGGTGGGTGAGATCTGTTAGTTTCTCTGCCCTCAGAGTTTTGTGACTGAGTCACATTCATGCCACATGGTGTTCTCCCAGCTAGGCAAGCCAGAGCGGGAGAGGGGGAAGCTTTGACTCCAAGTCATGAACGCAGCCTCCTTCTCCTCCCCCTCACACCCCCCTCCTTCTGTTCTTCACGGTCAGCAGGGGTTGGGCTGCATCTCGACATGTTGGCTTTAGGGCTCTCTTCGCCATGACCCTTCCCACACTGTGAACCGAACTTCAGTTCCCTCTGCCAGAGGACCCATTTGGGGCGCTACTGAAATGTCAGGCACACAGAAGAAATGACAGTCGACCTTTTCTCCAAACGCAGAATCTGGAGTTTTAGGTATCATGGGACGTTGGTGACAAAACCCCAGTGTCCTGGGTCATGTTTTTCTTGGACATGTGAGGGAAGGAGCCATCTGTATGGGAAAATTGGTGACGCCCATTGTCATGGGTTGGGTTTCAGTGTCTCAATAGTTCTCTGGACGCAAAGGAAGGATTCAGCTCCAGAGGTTTTTATGGACATCCGGGAGCCACCTGCTTTTTCTTTGTCTCTCTGCCCTTGTGCCTGCTTAGGGGGGCAACCATGGCACCCGATGATCCAGGATGCACACACAGCTGTCTCCTGCAGAGTGCCCGATTGGCCCAGGCACAAGGGCCCGTGTATTGCCAAGCACTGAGTGCTTTCACCTGCTGACACTTCATAGAGGAGGCTTTTGGCCTTAGGTTTCTTGCCTGGGGTTAGCCACATCGGAGACAGCCCGTTTCATGAGAACCAGGCTAGGTGGGGCCACCAGTTTCCACCTGAGTCTCTCTACTCTGTTTCTGGTCATTGCTTTCCTGCTTTATTCTTTGATTGCTCTGGATTACATGACTTCGCCCCAGTTCTCTGGAGCACTCTTCCTTCTTTCTGTCTCCTCTACTGAACTCTTTGAGTTCAGGACTGAAGGGGGAAGTCGAATGGAAATAATGTAATATGGGGCTATAGACTTCCCATACTTGGTACTGTGTTTGTATACTATCTTTTCATTATTTAGTCTATTTTATTATCGTAAGCTATTTTTTCTTGAATTTTCACCATAAAATACTAGAAGTTTTTTGTTGATTGAGAATGTCTCACATCTTATATCTTTGGCAGGGGCTGTGTGGGCAAAGGCCACACCTGCCAGTGCTCAGGAGTAACTCCTGACTCTGTGCTCAGGGGCTCTGAAGGCCTTATGTGAGCTGGGGATATAACCAGGTCAGCCACATGCATAGCAAGTACCCTTTCTACTGTACTGTTCTGGCCCTTTAATTTTTTAAATTGATTGTTGATGCTGAATTTTGATTAAAAGCGAATTTTTCTACTCTGTTTCTGGTCATTGCTTTCCTGCTTTATTCTTTGATTGCTCTGGATTACATGACTTCGCCCCAGTTCTCTGGAGCACTCTACCCTCTTTCTGTCTCCTCTACTGAACTCTTTGAGTTCAGGACTGAAGGGGGAAGTCGAATGGAAACAATGTAATATGGGGCTATAGACTTCCTGTACTCTATCTCATACTTTACCTGATATTGCTCTGGTAAATAATTTTTTCATTAGTATGCGTAATAACCTAATTTTTCTTGATTTTTCACTTTTACTTTAGCTATTTAAATGTTTGATGTGGATGAAGATAATTTTTCACCTAATTTTTCATTGATCTCCATTTCTGAATTTTAATTAATTGCATTCACTTCAGAACATGTTGTGCTTTCTCTATTGAGTCTATATTTGGTGACTTTAGAATGTATGTACATCTATGCTGTCAATGCATTCAAAAAGTATAATATTTTAGGTAGTAGGATTCCAGCAGTGTTCAAATTTATTGTATTATGAACATGGTGATTGCGGATCACTGCCTCAAATTTGTATGATCATCCTCCTCTGTCCCTCTGTCAATTGCAGTCTGACCCTCCTCCCTTTAAATCCCCTCCATTCTTTATTGATTGACTGTTACTCTTTTCATGCAAACTGTTATCTCCTTAAGCACCATACACACACTCAAGACCCTCCTCCTGTGCTCCTGAGTTTCTTTCAATCAAACCAGTTCTTCCTCTCCTGTTATCTGTTCAGACCTGGCAGACTCAGGTCTGTATTCCAGTATACAAAGTTTACTAAGGTAAAGGTAAAGGTAAAGGCCCTCCCGTTGATCGTCGATTTGCTCGAGCGGGCCCAGTAACGTCTCCATTGGAGACTTTGTTGTTACTGTGTTGGACATATCGAAT